TTTCTTTCTTTCTTTCTTTCTTTCTTTCTTTCTTTCTTTCTTTCTTTCTTCCCTTTTTTGTGTTTGATGGTTTTTTGTTTTTTGTTCTTTATTTTGTTTCATTTTGTTTTGCTTTGTTTTGGTATCTGTGTGTTAACTGAACTTACTGTGATCATCACTTCACAATATGTGAAAGTCTAGTCACTATGCTATATTCCTTGAACTTTTATGGTGCTGTGTGTCGATGATATCTCAGTATAACATGGGGGAAAAAGAGACTTTACCACACATAGAACAGGCTGATTGTTCTTTTTTCAGTTAGATTCAGTCAGCCTTCTTTAGAAAGTTGTAGTCAAATCTATTATAGAACTCTAAGAATATCAGGCTGCAATGTTTCTATGACAATTATTGCTCTTACTACCGAGAGCATGACTACCATTATCACAATTACTGTAGTATGTGGGGGAATAGAAGACAATGCTTGTTTCAACCCCAATTTCTTAGGTGGGTTGCAGTGAAAAATACCATAAATTCAAGGAGTCTAGGAGTACTTCTTGGCTTACTAGATATCTCTTCATGGTCCCTACTGTAAATCTCTGAGATGGATGCTGAGCTCTGGGGTCAGTCGATTTATTCTTTCTTACATGTTGTCATTTTGGTTACTGCCTGGGCTATAAGTCATGTTGAGTTCTTGCATCCCTGCAGTAGGAAAAGAAATAGAGTATTGCACAGTGACCAAAGCTTTGACCCTGTACACTGTTACAAGAGAATTCCATACCTGCAGAGTGAGTGAAAATGACAAATAACTCTTTAAGCTTCAAAGTTTAAAGGAACAGATCGATTTCACCTGGAGGGTCAGCCTGTCATTTTTCATTCCATGTATTGTCAGGTCCATCATGTTTAATATGCCCAGAGTAGCTCCTGGGGGGATTGTCTGCTACCGAGAGTCACCAATAGAAGAATGTTTTGAACAAGTGCATGGATAAGATGTGTTCGGGGGCACTTGGGTGGCTCAGTCAGTTAAGCATCCAACTTCAGCTCAGGTCATGATCTCGCCGCCCATGAGTTCGAGCCCCGCATCGGGCTCTGTGCTGACAGCTCACAGCCTGGAGCCCGTTTCAGATTCTGTATCTCCCTCTCTCTCTGCCCCTCCCCTGTTCATGCTCTGTCTCTCTCTGTCTCAAAAATAAATAAAAGTTAAAAAAAATTAAAAAAAAAAAGATGTGTTCGTAGTTTAAAGGTGCTCCAGGTAAGTTCTGAAACAAAAATAGTTCAGATTCTTCACTCCTTAAAATTTACTCCAGGGGGCACTTGGGTGGCTCGGTCGATTAAGCGTCCGACTTCGGCTCAGGTCATGATCTCAGGGTCCCTGGGTTTGAGCCCCACGTCGGGCTCTGTGCTGACAGCTCAGAGCCTGGAGCCTGTTTCAGATTCTATGTCTCCCTCTCTCTGTGACCCTCCCCCGTTCATGCTCTGTCTCTCTCTGTCTCAAATATAAATAAACGTTAAAAAAAAAAATTAAAAAAAAATTTACTCCAGAACATGATCCTTGGAAGTAGCTCGTTGGTGTTTCATCTGGTCCCCTCCAAGGTTGCACTGAGAATAAATTTGATCTGGGTTAGGAATTGAAGACATAGACTCATAGTTTGTCTCTTCAACCTCTAAAATTACCAAATGAAAGGTCAAATAATTAAATATCATCACCAATGATTTTGTTGTTGTTGTTAACATGACATCACAGATTTGATTCGGTTGAATAAGAGACTGATTTATTTGCCAAAAAAGTGCCTTGATTATTTTGGAATTGAACAGACACTATTTTTGTGAAAAAACAAACAAACAAACAAACAAACAAACAAAAAACTAAAAACTTCTCATTGTTCCTAGGGAAATTATGGATTGTTGGAATGGTGAAGAAAGAAAATGGATGTTAGGAGGAGTCCAGGAAAGACGTATCTGTCACAAAAAAACTGTGTTCTTCCATAGTAGTGTCGAGCCGGGGAAGGGGAATTGATGTTTCAGAATTAAACGTTTCATCCCTAGAATTCTAGGACTTACTTTCTAAACCACCCCAGAAACTTCCTTTAGTTTTGCGCCTTTCCAGGTAGTTCTAAAACGTCCCTTGTTGACCAGTAGGCAATTTCTAATGGGGAGTTTTTAAATTTGGCCAATGTCACCCCTGTCATGCTCTCACATAAGCACTAAGTTTAATGTTATATAAGTGGTAATAACCTAGAGTTTCAGGTTTCAGTAAATATAAGGCCTATTAAGTACTAAGTGAGGTTCGTTGCTTTTGATACTTAGTGTTTAGCTTAAAATAGTCACTTTTTTTTTTATTTTGGTATAAAAGACCTTACATGTACTTGTTGGACAATTAAAGATTAGCTTCATGAGAAGATCAAATTTAGATGGTTAATAAACCCACACCAGATTGCTCTCACAGGCAGAATAAGAGTTTTTCCCTGTAATATATTGTTTTCAATAAAGAATCAGTCCCTACATTAGCTATTCCAATATTCATTACAAAGGAAAACATAATAAACCATATCTTGTCGGATTAAGAAGCTCTTGAATCAACCTTCAGAAGACAAAGTGGAGCTTCTGAATAAACAAATTATACTATGCAGGGCAATGCCAACAGGCAATCTTAATTATGCTATCTTCCAGCATGTGATAGTATTTCTTATGAATTATTGTGGACAAACACTTGGGACAGCCACCAATAGTGTAATTTTTAGAGTAGCTGCATTGTGTGGTGGTTCTTACGCTTTTCTATTGTGCTTCAGAATGCCTAGTTTTACCATCTTTCTTTAATTTGATTTAACTCACATTTGATCTTGTAATTTGACCAAGAATAAATCTCTATCTAATTAACAAAACGCAGAAGGGAAGTAGGGACAACACATCCCATGGTTTAGCCACATGCAAATGAGCAGGTACCTTCTTTTGGTGCATGCCTTGGAGGTTGAAAACCTTTACATATTTTCCTGTACTGATACACTAAGTGAGAAAGGCAAGCTAGAACCATCTTCTAGCTTATTTTCTCCTGTATAAAAATGGAAAAAATTGCAGTTAATGGATGCTACTTTTAGAAGGATGGTACAAAAAAAGTAGCAAGGAATTTGCCTCAAGCAATATAAAACATTATACCCATGTTTTATGCACAAAAACATTGCTGAAAGTTTTCATTGTATATCTAGATTATATGAATAGAAGATTAAATTCACTAAGGTTGAACTGGTTATTTGAAATGTCATTGATTAATCTTCCTGCAAAACAGATTTTCATTTCTCATGCTTGCTGGAAGCATGACAGAAACCATCAATAAAGCACCTGTGTTTATAATAGACTTCATGAAGGTAGACAGAGTTTCCATATTTTGTGATATGAAAATCTGTTTTGTAGCCACAGTTTGGTATAGCGTTAGAAGCACTTTGGGCCATTTTTCAAGTCTGCCCAAATCAAGGAATTCCTCTGAAATGATCTCACAAAATTTGTCCGGATTCACCTGAATGTGCTTCTAGATCAAGGTTTCTGCATAAAATATCACAGAAAAGCAAATTGCCTTTGTCAGTTAGTTTAGTAGTCTTATGTATGATGCACACCTTTCTACTACCTTTGATATATAAGCAATTCGAGGTCAGCAGAAATAGCTTCTAACCAACAGTTTCATTCCAACATTTCCGACATGTACTGTCTAAAATGTGACCAAGATAATGTGATGATTGCTTTCTGAACTTCTCCTGCTATTTCCTCTATAAAAAGCATCTTTATGGGCAGCTAATCTGTGACAAGCTTGACTTTTTAAGGTAGTTTCTCAAAGTGACAACCGTGGCCTATCTAATTTATTTTCCCCCACCTATATGACAGCAATCAACCTGAATATTTAGGTTTTCTTGTGTCAGATAAGATGTCCTAATATTAATGAAGGATAATTTTATGTATTTCAATTTTAATTTTATTTAATTTTTAAATAAGCAATATATTCACATGGTTCAAAAGGCACCAAAGAATATTCATTGAAAATTCTCTCTTCACCCTTGTCTTTCAGCCACCCAATTACATTTCCTGGAGATAAGAATGCCACCAGTTCCTTGGGTATCCTTCCAAAGAGATTCTGTGCTGCATATATAAACATATACATCTACAGATATAAATATGCTATATGTTGGGGAGCCTCTAATGAGCTATGTAGAGTTTCCTGATTTCCTGTGTGGTGTTGGCTCCCTCGTACTTCCAGACAGCACATGCATCAGAATGTCTGAGTGGTTTCCACAGGTGTACCAGGCAGTAGCAGCAGAGAAGCCATTGGGTAGAAAGTGGTGGTGGTGGTGGCGGGGGGGTGGTACGGATGAGAAGAGGTGCGCGAAGCTACGCTTGCGTTGAGGTGGGTCTTGAGTGACAGCTTGCAGTAAAAAGTTGAGCCAAGAGGGCATGAGAAAAGGCACAAGAGACATCCAATACACAAGACATTCTGGTGGGATACACAGCCAGCCCATCAAAGTAGACAGGTCAGGAAACAGGTGTTGATACTGAGATTATAGCACAGACTCAAATTTTAATACAATCTAATTCTATAAAGAGACTCATCTTGAGATTTTTCACTCCATGGATTGGCTTTTCCTACTAGGCTTTTTATTTTGTATTTTTATGTTTTGGGTAAAATGTACATAACATAACATTTCCCATTTTAATCATTTATAAGTGCACAATTCAGCAACATTAAGTACATTCACATTGTTGTGCAACCAAAGAGGCTTTTGTAGAAGAAATGCATGGTAGAAACTTTCAAATATTTGCTCACATTGCCAGTTGCTATTTTATGCCTATTTTTTCACTTCAGCCCTTGCTATATCCAAAAGTGTATGACTTTGAAGTCTTTCTGTGAATTCACCTTCTGCAGATCCCATGCCATGGAGATCATTAAAAGAACAGTGTTATGTCTGGAGTTCTAGAACTCCATAAATGGCTGAGAAATTCCAGGGGGGAAGAACCATTAAAAATGGCCATTAAATATTGTTTTGAGAAATGCCACTTTCTGAAGTACCTGGACATGCATTATTTGTACTGCTGATAAGCCTGGGCGACATCAAATTGTGCAAAGGTCTTTCTCCTAAGCGGAAAAAGGGATGGTTGATTCATGATAGGAGTTGGCTTTAGATAAGTGCTTTATGAAAAACCACATCAACTTCAGATTGTGTTGATGACCATTGGTAGAGATAGGATGTGTCTTGATTATATAATTCTGAGGGAAAAAATATATCTTTCTACCTTTTAGTGGGTTTGCGCACTGGCTGGCGTAAATACGATTTTTCTCCTTTAAATCCACAGTTCCTTAAAATGTGCCTTGGGAAAATACCTAGATACTTTTCAATAATCAAGTATCTCTAATGGCATGTATACTGAATACTAGAATACAAAATTCCAAGAACATGAAGCATTTTCCTCTCAAGAAGCATTTGAGCCTTCCTCTCTCTGTAGGATGGATGAAGCTTCTCACTAATGGTGCCACACAGCACATTTGTAAACTCCTACTTCAGCGATGTCATCAAGTCGGTGATTGTTAGACTCACGGACACAAGCATGTACACAGACACACATTCACACATACAAATCACTGGTTAAGGATCTTGACCCCAAAGATCCTAGTTAGAAATAAGTCATATCAGAGTCACCTTCCATCTTGTACACACAAAAATTTATAAGAATGGGGGTAAATGCTGCTGCTTGCTCTTAGTCTGTTGAGGCTGCTATGACAAATACCATAGACTGAATGGTCTGTAAACAACAGAAATTTATTTCTCACAGTTCCGGATGCTGGGGAGTCCAAGATCAAGGCACAGGCAGATCTAGTTAGTGCCTGGTGAGAATTTGCTCCCTGGTTCATAGTCGGCTGTCTTTTTACTCTGTCTGTGCACCTGTTGGAAGGGGCAAGGGAGCTCTCCGGGTTTTTTTTTTCCCTTAATTAAAAAAAATATTTATTTATTTTTGAGAGAGAGACTGAGTGCAAGCAGGGGAGGAACAGAGAGAGGGAGACACAGAATCCAAAGCAGGCTCCAGGCTCTGAGCTGTCAGCACAGAGCCCGACGACACGGGGGCTCAGACTCACAAACCATGAGATCATGACCTGAGCCAAAGTCGGATGCTTAACCGACTGAGCCACGCAGGTGCCCTTCTGGGGTTCTTTTCCTAAGAGTACTAATCCCATTCATGAGGGCTCAACTGTCTTGCCCTGATTGCCTCCAACTGCAAAAGGCTCCACCTCCAAATACCATCACACTGAGGATTAGGTTTTAACATATGAATTTGGGGGTGGCACAAACATTCAGTCTATAGTAGTTCTTAAAGCATCTTGTCTAGGGAGATTTACATATAACAAACTTTTAATCATCTTATGCTCATGTTAATAGTTTAATCTGAGCTCTTTGGGGAAATAACTTGCCAATTTTTTCTGAACATGTGGCTATTCTTAAAGAATCTGTGCTTGGTATTTTTGACTTTGCAAATGGAACATAAGTAAATTGTTCAGTGCCTTTGGTATGCCGAACTAATCTGAAGATGTTACTGTGTCTGAAGTTTCCTGTGTCTTATCAAAGAGCAAGAGAGATATGCTTCACATTATGAGGAGCACAGATATTCGCAGCTTTGAAGTTATTTCTGTGTCATGTCCTATTGGATTATTTGGGCCACTGAAATAATTAATTCCGTAAAGGGATATTATTAGAAGACTTTATTATAACTTTTATGCAAGGCTCAAGGCAGTATTTCTCAACTTCGGCACTATTGCCATTTTGGGCCATCTAATTTTTCCATTTTTTTTTTTCAATTGAAGTATAATTGATTAGGTAACTATTGTGGAAACCGTAGGACGTTTAGCAACATTCCTTCTGTCTACCTTCTAAGTGCTAATAGCTCCTTCCCCCATTTGTGACAACCACAAATGTCTCCAGGTGTTGCCAAATGTCCTTTGCAGGGAAGAATGCCCACATTTTGTACTGCTGGCTTCAGGGAATCCTGATTTAGGGCATGGTTTCTAGAATTAGTCTTAATGCCAGTTGCATAAATCGAAGATGCATAAGAACAGCTGTAGCATAGTTAAAATATGGAAATAATCTTCAGCCAATAGCTAAGTAAGTGCATATTTGTCTTCCTTCTTTTAAATCGTGTCCTCAAAGTGAAAATATAGAGTCAAAACATATGCACATTTTGCATTTTGGTGTATGTTATCAAGCTGCTCTTCAGGAAGATTTGCCCAACTTACATGCTAATAGGGCGTGAGTTGTCCCCGTACCCCACATCTTAACTAGACACATGTCTTTGGAAATAGGTTTTTCGATATGTTAAGAAAGCCACCAAAATTTTGAAATCATGAATTGGTTTAATTTGACTGTTGAAGTTTGTGATTGTGTTTTCGTAAGCCATGATCATAAAATTCAACATCTTCCCAAGTGAAATCATGTTAACCCATATTAGAAGGTTTCAGGGACTCTAGAGAGAGATGAGAGTAAATTATATGTCTGGTTATTGAGACAAAAGACTGTATCAATATTCTTACGAGAATAGTGTCAACTCTGTAGTTGAGCTGATTTTGGTTTAAGTTTCTCCCTTGGAAATTCTGGTAAGGAGTGGTGATGGTATTTAAAGTATTGCATTATTTTTATCACATTCAGTGACAAAGAAAAGCCTCACCTTCACTTCATAGTGCTTCTTCTCATGGAGTTATTTTTGAATCCCTTTTCTTCAATTGCTTTTGAGAGGCCAGAGCCCAAGTGAAACACAGTTTGGGTCTGGGTTTGATGTGAGATGGTTTCCAGAAATCAGGCCAGTAGCTCTCATTTAAAAGATAATGATGCCAGCCAGGCTTAGAGCCCTCTCCTCTGGTGGACTAAGGCCCAGCCTAGGGCTGAAAGATAGCAAATTACACACTGGAGTTGTTTTTTGTTTTTGTTTTTGTTTTGTCCCAGGAAGCTCCTGTGAGAGAGACCATCCTGTGCGACTTTCTTTCCTTCTGCCCCCTTCCCAACTTACCTACAAAGCCCAAAGGACAAAGGCAGTTTGCTTTCAGAATTTGCCTTATGAGTGGATCTCCTGTAACTTTGGGGGTGGGGGAGAAGGAGTAATGGGGTAAGGAACCAAAATTTATCAAACATGTGCAGCATTCTAGCCCCGTACTGGACTTCTTTCATTTCCATGGCAACAACATGACATAGTATGTTAGTCAGGGCTCTCCAGAAAACAGAACCATGTTGTGAGTGAGTGTGTATGTGTGTGTGTGTGTGTGTGTGTGTGTGTGTGTGTGTGTGTTCAGAGAGAAAGCGAGAGAGAGATTTTATTTTTAAGGAATTAATTCGTGTAATTGTGGGGACTGGCAGACCCAAAATCTGACTGGTAGGCTGAAAACTCAGGCAAGGTTTCTATGCTGCAGTCTTGAGGCACAATGATCTCCTCCCCCTTGGGAGAAACCTCAGTCTTTGTTCTTATGACCACCCATAATTTGGAAGGTAATCTATTTCAGTCAATTGGTTGCAATTGTTAATCATATACACAAATACCTTCACGGCAACATCTAGACTAGTATTCATCCAAACAACTAGGCACTGTAGCCTAGGCAATTTGACACACAGAATTTACCCTCACAGATGGTTCCTGGAAGCTTAGACAAAGCAATAGCCCACACTAAATGGTGTACCATTTATAGATGAGGAAACCTTGGCTCAGAGAAACTATGTAAGTTCAACGAGGTCCTGTAGCTTGTAAGCAGTGGGACTAGGATTTAAATCTGTCTCTGACTGATTCCCAAGTCTACTGTGTTCATTGCATGTTCATGCCCCACCCCCAACATATACACCTACATGCATTCACACTTTCACACACCCACATATTCATATTCATGCAACACGCTCGACCTCACACACACACCTCCTCTGGCCCCACGCATTAACTCTCTTACCCTTTTAGCCTGATCCCTGGAAAATCCACGTCATAGAAAAGAGAAAGTAACCCCTATCATCTCTCATAATCACTGACATCTGAAGGGGGAGGATGCACCATCGAGTGGGGATAAACTGAGTCAGAAAGGAAAGCAGCTCTTATGCTAACAAACTGAAACCTCATGATTTTGTTTAGGCCGTCTTTTAAGAAAATATTCCGCCATTTTCAGACATATGAAAATTATTCAGGGATCTGTAGTTGGGGCTGAATCTTCTATGAGCAGAGCTGAAGAGGAAAGTCAATAACCCTATCAAGTGTTTGAAGTATTCTAAAATATATATATTTGGAAGCATCAGTCTTCATATTTGGGGAGCATTTTAGAACTTTTTAGACTCCTTTCTTACCCCTTCCTTCTTTTCAGGGAGATTAGAATATTCCATTTTTTATCAGATAGCTATATCTTAGGGTATTGCGTACCCTCATACATTCAGTGTGTGCATTGAAGCCACTGGGAAATATAAAATGTGAAATTTAAGCAGTTAGAAATCAAATGGCACTACTTCATTGGAATATAATCATTCAACCCCTAAATCATCATGTTTTGTCTGTGAGTTAGGAAGGGGCATGGTTATTTCAGAAAAAGGAAATTTGATTGCAGAGATAGCAGATTTCTTGAAAATGTCCACATTTATCTTTTTTTCCTTTGACTCACCTTATGAGGATAGCTTTGGGAGAAAGCTGGGAAATGCTATGAACTCTTGACTCAAGGAAAATGCTGATCTTACAATGGAAAACAATGTAGCTATTTTCCAATTGGAGATCTCTCCTTTGAATGTTTTAGGTAGGTGAGCAATTTAAATCTGGTAATTGACATAGAAGACATTTGGTTGGTTTGTACGTTTTATTTAGTAATTGACTAATTTGTGGACGAACAATAATTTATATTCATAAACATAAGATGAGTTCTCTAGATTTTAACATTACCTCCATATCCATCTGCTATGAATGCTTAAATGAGCAT